GTTAACCGAAAGGAAACCACAGCCAAGCCAACCCTCACACACGATCCCCCTGAGCACATCTAACACCACTAGTTGCACTCAAATGGACCGGACCCCCGCCGCCTAACACCACTAGCCGAACGGAGGATGGTGATGGTGTCGTGGCCCCTCAACCCTGACGCCGGCGAGACCACCTCCCGCCCAACGCCAGAGTCCCACCCCCCTTGCTGACCCATATCCAGTCAACCTCACCGCAATCCACCGACACCAAGCCGAGAAGCCCCAAAACGGAGCCCCACCGGAAAAGCCCCAAAAGGAGCCCCACCAGAAAAACGCACCGCCCGAGGGGAGCCCCAAAAATCACGACCAAACGCAGCAGGAGAGAAAAACTTACCTCCAATCGAGACCAGCTGACCATCAACGCCACCAATTGCAGCCCAATCGCCGACCGAGAGGCTCGCCCCATCTCACCGCGAAATCGCCGTTGACCTAGGGCACGACATCCCTGCTAGCATCGGAGCACTACGGCAACATCAGGGTTCAGCTGAGGGGCCGGCGGTCAAAGGCGACCACCAGCCGAAGCCGCGCCGCCGCCAAGGAAGGCTTCGCTGGATTAAGAGGCTCGGCTTTGTCGCGAAAGTTTGTATCGCCAGAGAAGAGAGAGAGATGAGTTTTTTATATAAACGTATTGTTAATATGATTATTTGAAGTTTGGAGAATATTAAAAATTGAAATGAATTAATAAATAAATATTGTTGTCATATTCACATGGTAATTCTTATTAAAACTTGAAATGTATTAACAGGCTTTGAAAAATGGTTAACATGCTGTTACATGTTAAAAAATTTATGAACAAAGCCTCATAAATTGAAAAATCTTGTTAACATATTGTCAAGTTTTAATGAACAAAGCCTATTACCATTTCAATTTTAAGTGAAAATCACGTATCTATATAACAAAGCATGCTAATCACTTTTTTAATATATTTTAATATATTGTTAATATGATTATTAGGAAAAAAAAAGTTACTAAGAATGGTAGGTAATTAATGTTGACTGAAATTTGACTTTTCATTTTTAAAAAAGTATAATTCTTATTATATATATATATATATATATTATATATAGATATAGATTCTAAACCAACCTTAAAAGTACTAAGGTGGTGTTCTACGAAATTTCCTTGGGGCTTTCCAACTTAAAACTTACTGTTATGCAAGTATAAAACGTGAAGGCCTCACCGTATGTATTTGTATCTGTAATTCGTACGTACGATATATCTCTGTCGGCACTCCAAATTTAGACACGCCATTCCACTTTTAACCATCACCGACTCTCGCATTTTATATTACTCAGGCACCTCACTTGGAAGACTCAAAATTCCACTGGAAGCAGTAAAATCCCATTCTCAATTAATACTTCATGGCTCCACACTCAATTGTATATACACTGGGAGCCTCTCTTTTTCGCTCTGCTATATCAGATTGCATACGGGAAATTTAGGTAATTGAGCTTGAGCCCACAATTCATTTTCCTTTTTACATATTACTCAGCAATTTTATTTTAAAATTTTTGGATTAAGGGTGTTAGTTAATGAATTGATCTGCGGGTTAAAGTTGCATCTTTTTTCTGAATTTTTTTTTGTTCATGGTTTGTGGATTTCAATGTTGTTTAGTTAACGATTTGTGGATTTCAATATTGTTTTGTTAATGATCTGATTTGTGGGTTAAAATTACATACTGTTCGTTGTCATGTTTAAGTTGTGGTTGCTGGTTGGTGCAGTTTTGTCTAGTAATAAAAAGGATGACAAAAAGTAAAATAAAATAAGTGAAATTTTGCTTAAGGTGATTTTAGCAATTCCAATTTTCTTATTCAATGTTGTCATCTTTAGTTTGATACTTGAGTAGTAAAAACAAATGAAGTTTGATTAATTGGTTTTCTGTTTATTCAAATATGGGGAAATGGTTGTGAGAAACTGGAAAGTTGATCTCTTTTAGATCAAGAATTCTTGTGGAGTTTCAGTGATGACACTTCTTCAACTCAAAATATGTGCCCATTAGATGGCAGATGTTAATTGATTATGAAATCAATGATTATTAAGCCAAATGTGTTTTTGTCGAAATTTATGTAGTGTGGATTTAGAGAATGTATGACTTAGTCTACTAGAGCGATTCTGTAAGCTACTACTTCCATAAGATGTTTTTATAACTTTCGAGGTTTAGGGGTTGCTCAAGCAATCAGTGTTTCTAGTGTTTGGAGAAATGTCAGTTCTGTTAGGTTTGTTACGAAATATTGTTGTCAAAAATAAAGTTTTATCTCAAAATATAACTCAAAGATTCCTGCTTTAGCCAAAAAAAATCTCATTTGTTATTACCATCTGATTACACCAAACACTTTCTCAGAGCTTATAATAAAAGCTCTTCAACATTGTACAAAAAGGTTAGGAGAGCTTATACCTTAGTCAAATACTCTCATTGTAGATTAGCTTTTTTTTTCTAGTTTGCTTTGCTCTGATCAAAGTTTGCATTTCTTGATCTGGCACCCAAAAAAAAAAAAAGGAATAGGAGAAATGGGCCGTGGAGTAAGCAGCGGTGGAGGACAGAGCTCGTTGGGGTACTTGTTTGGCAGTGGTGAGGCCCCAAAAATGGCTTCTCAGAAAGCTAAAGCTGAAACTAGTGCTGCAGGTAAAGAACCATCTCCGAAGCCTAATGCAGCCCCTCAGCCAGTGGACGTCGCCAAACAGATTCCAGCTGGCATTCAAAGTAGCACGGCTAATAATCATGTCCGAGCAGACGGTCAAAACACATGCAATTTCATCACGGTTCCTTTTCTTTTCCTTCTCTGTTGACTATATGTTCTTTTGTTGATCATCGTGGCATTTTATGTTGACACCTTAATTTCAATTCTGTTTCCACATTTAACATGATTTTTTATTTTATTTTTTTTTGTGTGTGAAAGTTGTAAATTGACTGAGTGGAGCCCAAATTTCCCTTAAACTCATGACCCTCTGCGGGTTTGGCTTGTAACCATAGTTTATTCAGTCATCAAGTCTTGCAAGTATTTATCTGATTTTTTTGGTGTTTCTGTACAGTAAATTTATTCAGAAAGACATTAAATGGCTTTGTTTCAGACTTAATAGTAATGTCTACTGACGAAATATGATATGTTTAATATAAATTGTGTTATTTCTTTCTCAGGATCGACCATCAACTAAGGTCCATGCTGCACCTGGAGGAGGTTCGTCTTTGGGTTACCTTTTCGGTGGGGGTAGCAATTAAACACAGCCGAAAAAGCTGATCAAAATGTATTTGGTCATATATGGCTAGGCTGCAAAATCCTCATGCAGTACTATTTAAAATTTTGTGAAATTTGTAAGTATATGAGATGGTGTCTTTTACCTTTTTGTGTCAGTTTGGAAAAGTGAATTGTGTATTCTTACTATGCGAAGTTGTGCTTGATGTGTTGCCGGAGGATATATATTGTACTATGTAAGCATCTATCTCAAGGCACCATTTGTATAATAACCTCTTGTTCTATGTTTAACTGTACTATGACTGTCAGTTCTTGTAAAAGAACACGAACAAGGAATGGTTGTCTGCAACCGAATATCAAATATTGTGCAGTAGCATGATGAAAGTAGATAACGTGTGGTATTATATTTATTGCTATTTTGATTTCCCTAGCATCTTTTGTTGCTGCCTTTAGAGTTTTAGACTTGAACAGAGATGAAGGGTATCTAAAGCCTGAACAGAGGACAAATTATGCGGAATGTTTGAAAACAAGTTCAAACAAAAGAAATTAAGGTTTTTGCACAAACGCCAAAGCTAAAACAAAGTCATCTGACTAGCCACAAAACTGATCTTTTTCATCATATATTGAAACCATCTTGCCAAAATGATTACAAAAAACACTAATCACTTTCAGCATAATCACAACAATTCAATTCTCTTTCAACTTTAAGTTAAATTTCGCAAACCCATTCTCTTTCAACACAACACAACAATCTGTGAGGTGCAGAGTTTTAAAGCTAACATGCACAATTCCCAAAAGAAAGCTCCATAACACCCTAAAACACACACCTCTCTCTCTCTCAGGCCACCCGTAAATGAGGTGGCAGTGAAGGAGCGGGAATAATCCCCAATTTTCGACGAACATCCTCCAAATCCTCGTGAAAATGCCGCTCATAATACACGCACATCAAGTCTGTACACCGCACACCAGCTTTAAGAGCCCAAGGAAAGTAATGCTGATAGAACAAATTCCTCTGCTTCTCGCTAAATCTCACGCTACCCCCCACAACAGATAGGGCGCACATGGGAAGTAGCATCTGCTCAAATTCTATGACCTTCAAGGCAGACTCGCCTATCAAATTTGTAGGTAGCCCGAAAAGGGTGTGCCAAAAGTCGTGCACCTCACGTGCTCGTGTGGCAACATAAGCTATTTCTTCCGTTTCCATAAAACGAACTGGCGGCCTGTCATCTGGGGAGAAGTTTCTGGATCCCATGAAGTTTGCGTAGGCGGCACCAAAAGTGTTGGGTGGGAGGTCCCACGCGTGGCCCACGCTGGCAGAGACAACACGAGGGCGTTCCAGTAATATTGCCTGTGAGGGAAAAAAGGGCCAAAGCAAAGTTTCAGATTTTGTGTGCCGTTCGGGTTCTGCAGAGATGTTCGGAAACACATTTGTCTTTTTTTTTTTCAATATAGCCATTTGCAAAAGAAGTCTAAAGGAAAATTATTCCTAAAAATGTTTCTGAAAATTTTCATAGAAGATTAGCAATACTCTTAAGCGGTCTAGAAAAGGCCAAACTGGCAAATTGAGGTTTCAAGAAGAGCCTTTCTTACCAAGAAAATGGCAATTTACTTGGTAACCTCAGGCACAAACAGTTCTATATAAGGTAATCAAAATTGAAACCGTGGAACCATCAGTGCACTGCTGCTATATCACAAAACTTCACTAATTGTCTGAACTCTGACATGTCTCATTCATGAAGGTATATGCTGTTTTAAACTGATGAATATGTATTTTGTATGAGCTTCAAGAAAATATTAAAGTGTTGAAAATCTATTTTGTAAGGGCTTCAATAAAACAACATTCTGGTCGAGGACTAGGTTATATAGATATATCTCTTGATGCACTAAGGCTCCACTTGCCATCTCTTCCACTTAACTAGATAACAAGAGAGCATACTAACTCCAACCAATCAACTACAGAATGTATACGTGCTAAATTCATGATCAAGCACAGAAATGCAACAAGGCTTGCAAGTGAATAAGTAACAAACTAACAATTAAAGAATTAACTGCCAGTAATCAATAAAAAGCTCACCCTGCCTTCTGGACTCTTCTTCATCCTCTCAAGCACCCTTTCGAATGCAGGTTTTCCCGTTGTCTCCCCAAGAGCAGCAATCAAGTCGGCTCTTCGTGGGTCCAATAATGCCCCAACAGCTGATCCAACTGCAACGGCGGCTTTCTGCCACCCCTTCAGCCGGAGACGAGCGCCCTCTATCATTTTTCCTTGATACGCCATGTCAAATTTATCAGAACAAAAGGAACCAGAGCGAAATTTCAGAAGTTAACCATGGTAGCATACTGTGGGAAGTGCAAGCTAACTGAAAAAACGATTAATAACGAGAGTTTTGCATCCCAGGCGCAAGATCGCTGATTTTAAAATGGATTCTTTTCCCCCTTTTTCACTTACCGATTAGAGAATACACACCGAGATTGTATCAGGGTAGCGACGGCGGTGGGATACGATTGGCGGCGTATCTTTTGCGGCGGCGGCGATTGGCGGTGTCGTGGCCCGTGGGACCTCAAAATTGAAGTCTATTGTATGAATCGATGGACAACACAATCAATCTGTAACTATGCCGCATCGGATGGGGGCTCTGCTGTGAATAATTTTAAAGCAGGCTATGCTGTGTTTTATAGTCACCTGTTGGATTATAGGATCAATTATCTAACAGCCGTTAATTTTCTTATTTTTTCTTACAAATTTTTTTATTAACAAACAAAGGAAAAGAAATCACCCGGCTCCTCCAGAAAAGAAAAGAGAGAGACTTTATTTGTAGATGAAAAATCGGCCACTAAATAACAAAGGAAAGCTTAAAAACTTGAGGAAAAAAATTGGGTGTGGGAAAGGGTTGAGAAAAATATCCAAATTTTAACTTGAGCATTCTAACAAAAAAATAATAACAATTGTGAATTACGCGAAATGTTTTCGTCGAGAAAACAAGATTAAAATTGTTCTAAGTGTAGTCTTGTAGGTGTATCGGATAGATGTATTTTCAATTTGTTATTTCTTTTTTTTTTTTTTCTTTAATCTAATTTTATCGTGGATAAAGTTTTTGGCCGTCAGGTGTCTTCTAAATACATCCAACGACACATATTGCACAGTAGATACCTACTGTTTAAATGCGCACTGTAGTGCCCCCAAATCCGCCTGGATCTTACGGCGTCGACAAACCGAGCTGGGTCATAAAATCACAGTCGAGTCCCACGAATTTATAAGGTTGAAACTTTATTTATTTGTTTTATATATATATATATATATCCAAGTTCATATTGTGTCCTGCTGCCAGCCGACCCCCTTTATACCTTAGGACCCTATAAGAGATTACCAGTTTGTCCCCTTTCCTCTAAAAGAGAACAAAACTATTGGACCCGCTGGGATTCGATCCCACTATGCAGGCATTCGGGCTCAGCATGGGCGATCGTGTTACCTGCAGGAGAAAACATCTATAATTGTCCTTATTCTAAAAAGATATCACATTAATAACATGGTGCAAGTGAATTTCCACAAATACCAATTGTTACAAATAGAGATATTACGGAAAAGGAAAACTGTAAACGATAAAGTTAAAGAAAAAATTGATATTTATATCGGCTGAACAAAAATTCAAATATTTAAAAGAGGAGAGAACCGTGATGACAATTATTGACATTCAACTGATCAAAATCAGCGGAAAAAAAAGAGAGAGTTGGAGAAATGAAGATGCATATCTATATCTATATATATATATATTGAAAGAGGTTGATGGAATAATCTAAAATAGTAACTTGGACGTTGTAATTGAATAGGTTGACTTACTATTAAAGGAAATATACTAAAGATTAATTAACATTTATATAAAAAAATAAAATTAAATTATACCTACCTGTTTTAAATCGTACAATTCAATTAATAGCACGAGTTTCTGTGTATATGATGTGGTATCAATTTTGCAAAATTGTTTTGTGATAATTATGCAATAAAAATTGATTCTTTATATTAATTACGAACCACTATAATTTCTTATTCTTTTAGTAACCAACAACACAACGCATTTTCGAAAAAAGTATCTATTACATAGGTTTGTTTAAAAAAAATATCATTTGAATACGCACGATAAAATTATAAATATATACAAAATAAAAATTTAAAATCACTTGTGGAAGTTTTATTATGATATTTATTACAAGTTATAATACTTAACAACTAATTTTATCAACTATTTTTTAAAATTTTTTAAACATATATAATTTTAGTTACTTATATGTAAATGAGAACTTTTAGAAATTGGTAATGTAAATTTTAGTTCCTTAAATTTTCTTTTATTTTATTTTTTAATTTTAATGAGAGATATTGAAATTGGCTCACATTTTTTTTAAATAGTGATGACTTGTCATTAGCTTTGTTTATATAAAGTGAACTTATTTACTTAATTAAGAAATATTTTCATCTTATTATTATTTATATTTTTAAATCAATTTAATAAATATTTACAATATTAATTATTTTTATTTCTTAAATAATTATAAGTTCACCATAAATAAGAATGATAAATTATATTGATGCCTTTATAAGTAATTTATATATTAATAATTAATTAAAAATAGCTAATTTTACTTATTGTTGTCACAATCATCTAGTCAAAAACATTTGACGGAATGCGCTAGTATAAACAGTCAATGCAACATTACCAAACAAGAGGGATATATATGTGTGTAAATTTTTCACTTAGATGTTTTTTATTAATCATCGTCTCCCTCCACAAAACGAGAAAAAAGTTGCAGAAATCGCGGCAGATGAGAAATTCAATTGCTGGTAGAGTTTATCACTGCGCACATAGAGGTTTAAGGAAGTTTGGCCTTCCGTCTGCTCTTTACTCTCGTCATATTCATGAAATTCCAATCCCAGCATTCCCAAAACCTGGCTCGTACCTCGTTTTTGACAGCTTCAGAAAATATCCGCAGCACGGACTTTGTTTCCCGTCGATTACCCTCCTCCGCCGTTTGCATGTCAGTTGCCCTACTGAGCAAGCTTGCAAGGACTCAGTCGACGGTGAGCTCTGTGCTTTGTGCTTCGTAGAGATTTTTCTGCGTACCACTTGTTTGATAATTTGTCTCATTGATGGTTTCTGCGAGAATTTGAGGTTTCAAGTGAATAATGGTGTATGTCTCATTTTCTTGCAACATATGGTTATGTAATCCCTTAGATCAAGAGGCATTTTATTGTGTGTAAACAAATGATCAAATAAAATCTCAAGTCTTCTTCTTTTTTTTTTTTCTTTGATTATCTCTTTGAATTGAGTGAGTGGCTTCACTATTCATATGCTAATAGACATATAGTTGGAAGTTTATTTTAGAGCCTTCTCATTCTCAATTACAAAAGTTGTTCCTTCTTGTCATTGATTCCCTCACCGATTTCATAATTTTGATTGTAGTGTCAAATTGGTTTTGCTTGGATTTTCATGTGTACGTAAATCTTCAGATGAGTCCAATGGAGAAGTTGAACCAATTGATACGTGGGAGGAAGAGGATGAAGCCGAGCCTGAGGTATGGTTCGACTTTTAAATTCCAGTATAAAAAAGTCAGAAAACTTTTAGCACTTTACCAATACTATTTTGGCTGATAATAATATCACGGAGTGTAGATTGGTGATGGAGGTGATGGTGGTGGGATCGTTCTGCATAATTGCCCTTGGGGCCAAAGGGCTCTATCCATAGCCCTAGAGTTACTGCAAGATTTTGGTGAAGACATGAAGATTTATGCATTCAAAACTTCTCCTCGAGGGTACATTTATGTGAGACTCGACAAAATTCCGAATGAGTAAGTAATTATTTTCTTTTTACTTATATTATATTTAACAGCAGCTTATATTTATTATTTCTAAGATCATGCTTAGAAGACAATATGGATGAAAGGTGAACCTGTGTTTTACTCCCAGTTTCGCTTAACGTTTCCTATTTTGTTCATAAGCCATGTATTTTTAATAATATATGCAGAGTGAAAATTTGATTGTACATAATGAAAATGCTCAATGATACTTATTACTGAGGAAAAGAAATAAATAAAGTAGAGTGCTCTTATCTCCTGTTATTTCCACACATTTTGATGGATTGGCAATCTCTAAACTAGTCATCATTTAAACTACTAAGGTAACTGTTGTTAATTACCAACATTTATTATGAGGCTAAACAAATTATATTTTCACCTTCTCAACTAACTAGGGCACTTGATTTCTTTGATGTCGGAAATCAGAAAAACAAATGTGACTAAAAAATGGCCTTGCAGTTCCATTTTTCTCGATTCAATGTTTTACAAGTATTAAACAGATTTTGGCTGGTGTAACACATGAACAATGAACATTATTTCTTGATTTCCATGTCAAAAGAATGTCCTCTTTCAGGACCAGATAAGTGAGTGGTTGTTTTCTATTATTTCGTTCGTCTTCAATCAGATACGGGTGTCCGAGCATGGAGGAGATTGAATCTTTCAGTCGAGAATATAAGAAAAAATTGGATGAAGTTGGTGCACGAGGAGAAATCCCTGATGATTTAGCTCTTGAGGTAATACTCTGACTAGCTCTCGTACTCTTCTTATATTATCACCTTATGCTCTCTGATTTATTTTCCTAGTGATTTTTTTCTTTTCTTGAAATAAGCCCAAATAGCTTTTTCTATATTGTAAACATTTATTTATACTTTTTCTAAATGATAAAGATATTTTCTTCTTAAGGTGTCGAGCCCAGGTGCCGATAGGCTGCTAAAAGTTCCGGATGACCTGTTAAGGTTCAAAGATTTGCCAATGTTAGTCAGCTACAAGGATAATCCGAACACTAAATGCCAAGAGAAAAATGGAGTTTTCTTTCTTGACTCAATTGAAACCGAATCAAGATGCTGCATTTGGAAACTGGCAGACGTGAGGGAAAATCTAGATCCTTCAGCTAAGGGGAGGCCACTGAGCCGTAAGCAGAAAGACATTAGACTAAAATTATCATATGACACAATAGAGCGGGTTACTCTTTATATTAGATGCTAATGATTAGTGAAGGTTGTTATTTGGACGGCTTCTGTTTATGACTGGAATTATGACTTGGGATATGAAGCAAGTTTGGTTAGAATCTTTTGCCAGCAGGATTTTTGAACATCACTCTTGGAGTTTTAGGTATTAAAATTGAATGATGGTTTCCTTGCTAAGTCGATTGTACATTCGTTTTGAATGTGGCAAAAAGATTATGTTGTTTGGTTTGACGCAGAAAAATCTAGTGGGATGCAAGATGTTAAACAAAATGAGCTAAGGAAAAATCTAGTTGACTGTTTTTTCAGTGACATATTGGCATGACAAATACTGTAAACTCATGTACGCAATTTATATATTGACTCATATATAAATAAAATATTTTATACCTTATATTATTCATTTTTTATTAATTAACAAATTTACCAAATGTAATATTTCTACTCTACAGCTTATAATTTTAAATATAATATAATATTTCATATACATCAGGATTGAGTTATGCAAAGGTCCCCACCCAATAATGTATTAATGTACTCATTCAAAATAATCCAAAACCAGTTCATATATTCACATAATAATTACATCCCAATCCATATCAAATCCATCAATCAATATCCCCACACACAATCCAGTCTGCACACCACACACGAGTTAAAAAAGGGGGATAAGAAAAGAGACCAAATCATTAGACCCTAGTTGGGCAAAATAGACACATAATAATCACACAAACTCTATACAAAAAAGCCAAAACTCATCCCAAATTCAAACGCCGGCCGAATTCCCGCCTTAGCAACCCCTCGTTCTTGATCCTCCACGCCTCCCTCTTGATCCTCACCAACCGATCGTAAACGCACCACGGGAAACTAATATAGTGATCCCTCTTCAACCCCACGTTGTACTTCCCCCAAAACTCTGGGTGGTACGCCACGTGGTACCACGCTGAGGCCTTTGCGCGCGGCTCGTCACTCTCGCTCCCTCTGCGGAACCACGCGCGCGCCTCGTTCCTCAACGACCTCACCGCGGCCCCCACGGCCTCCGCGTCTTTCCTCCGGTCAAAAGTCTTGGACATCTTCATGATGCCGCCGCTCAAGATCTCCGCCTCCGTCTTAATCCCGTAATACTCCATCAAATTGCCGAGCTTGTAGTCGTACTCCGTCTTGTAATCGAAGGCCTCGTCCACGTAGTCCTGGAAGCCCGGGACCTCGAGGTCTGGGTCGTAGGCCCGTTGGGCCACGTCACGGGTGAACGAGCGGATGGGGGCGGTGTGTGGGGCGAGGTCTTTTACCTCGCGGAAGAGCTTGCCGATGATGCGGTTGGACTCGTAGGTGGGCTTGTCGGGCTTCTCCATGAAGTCCGGGTAGGATTTGACGCGAAGGTGGGAAGGGATGTCGGCTGGGACGCCTGTCTTGGGGAAGTCGACTGCGATTGAGAAGAGGTGCGCGAGGTCGAGGCAGGGCTTGCTCATGCCCTTCTCGGGTTCGCAGTCTGCGAATACCGTGTGGGCGTTGGCGATGATGCCCAAGCTGTCGTTCACCATGTAGTTGGTGAAGTATTCCTCCACTTCCTGCATGACCAGCCAAATGAATGAAAATGAGAGAGGGAGAGAGACGAAGAGCATGTTTGTATACAAAATTTTTCACTCAAAATTTTATTCAGCTCAAAATTTAACTCAAATTTAACTCAACTCCAAGTAAATAACAAATGTACATAGAGGTGTACATAACCCTTACATGGAGTAGGGTCCACTTGATTTTTTATTTTTGGTAGGTCGCACTCAATGTGAGTGTTATGTACACCCCTATGTACAATATTATGTACCTATAGCATTTCTCATTAAATAATATCATCCAATACTTCTTACACATCACATATACATTAATTCACTAATCATCCACTCACATAATTTTAACTAATTATCACTTCATATCATCTCTTTCTCACATAATTTTAACTAACCATCACTTCATATCATTTTTCTCCTACTTTTACATCAAATTAACTTTAATTATTTTATATTAAATATTATTTTAATATGAAATAAAAATCCCACTAATAATTAATCATACCACTTTTTTCAAAATTAACTCTAATTAACCAAAAAACCTCGTTTTGAGCGGATATTTTTATATACAAACACGCCCAAAGTTTTCGTAAAAGAGCTCAAAGCCACACACTTATAAAAGAAATCGATACCTCGATTGTCACGTTGTGATCGAGCTCTATGGTTGGAGACGGACTATAATCCATAGGTGCAACTTGCCTCGGCGGGATTAAATCAGAGTCCCAGCAAACAAAGTATATGTCCCCATCCAAATCACTTCCCGAACATTCATTCGGGTGCGGCCTGTACTTACAATACACAAAATCAGCTACCTAACATTCAGAAAAATAGAGAAAAAAAATAGAGAACAAGAACAAAAATGGCAATGAGATACTTGTGAATTGAATTAAACTGGCAATGGAAGTGTTAGCAGTTAGCACATATATAATACTTCCGACTCATCCACATTCAATTCAAAAGCTTAACGAAAAGCAAAAAAAAAATAAAAAAAAATCTCATTCTCCATACCTTTCCCCTTTCTGCGGAAAAACAACACAGTCCACCATATGGTACAAACCCGGCACGTCAACCGCCCTTAGCACCCGAACATCCCCCGGGTGCAGGCACGGGTTTTTCGCCACCACCACATTTCCTTTCACAACATAATTACACTCACCCAACACATAATCATTGTAACCATCATCATAATCATCATTATCATCATCATAATCATAATACTTCCCGCGCTCAGTCCCCGAGAATTGCACAAACACCTCCCCATAATCCAAAACTCCCGTCTCATCCAAACAGCCCATCATCTGGCGGGCCCTCGGCAAAAACACCCTTGCCTTAAGCCGAAGGTCTAGCAGCTTAGAAGCCCTAAAAGTCTGCAGCATCATCGAAAGAAAAGGCTCCGCATCAGGCTTGTACCCGCATTTCAGCATTTCTTTCAGAATATTCGTGTTTTCGCCAGGGTACATCAAGGAAAGAGCCTCCCGAGCCTTTACAGGGTCCACGAGTATGCCATCCAGCTGTGCCACGGCCTCTCTCTGCTTCTTTTCAAAAACATGGTCTTGAACTCCGAGAGTCGACAAAAGGGTTATGATCTGACGGTTCAGAAAGCACGGCTGGTACTTACTGCATGCCAAGACATCGAGCTTGTTGTTTTCTGACTCGTACTTGTTCATGCTTTTTCTCAACGAGAGCTTCCATGACGAACCAGGGTCCACGGCCACGACCCCTTTGTAGCCGCCATACCTAGGGGTTGTAAACGAATCGAATCAGAGCGAATATTAAGATGTTCGATTCGGATTGGTTAGAATATTCGAGGATTCGAATTCGTATTCGATTTGTATACGAACTCGTTTTTTTTATTCGTATTCGATTCGATTCGATTCGAAATTCATTTTCAAGAAAATATAATAATTACAAAAATATTGTTTATGTTTTTCCTATCCAATTTGAGATGCTTTTAGGCCAAATTATTAATTTGGGATGTTTTTACTTTTTATGTCATAAAAATATTCTGAACATAACAATATATATATTATATATATATTATAAACAAATTTATATTATATATATAATATAAAATTTATGTAATTATCATTAACGAATCGAATATCGAATTTCGAATCGAATACCAACAAAATCGAATTCGAATTGGTCTAAATATCGAATATAAAACATTATTCGTATACGAATAAAAAAAAAATTGATTTGTTTACAAGCCTACCCATACCTGATCTGGAAAGCAGACGGGGTCGTTGAGTTCCTGAACCCGCATTTGCTAGCCACCTTCCGCGCGAAATCGGCCGATATTTTCCCGATCCCGTCAGAAAACACATACGTTTTCCCGTCTTTCACACGCTCAATATCGTCGATAAAATCAATCTCGTTTACATTCACGGTCAGTGTCTCAGTCGAGGACCCGAACGACTGTCCGAGCCTGGCGGCATACTTGGCCACGTTCTTTATCGTTCGAAAATCGCCCATCCACCGCCTAATGGCATCTGCATCCAAGCCATCACTTTCGCTCGGGGAAAACATCCACAGAGAATTGTCACGCAACTGGCTAGACGAAAACGCAAGAAAATCGAACTTCTTGTTCCCGATTTTAATCCCATTCTGTAATATCGACAGAACCCTCTCGTAAAGCTTCGTCCTTCGGCTCCCATTCACAGCGGACTTGGGGGAAAGGTCGGTCGAGTACATCCTCTCCCACTCCTCGTCCACAAACGAGACGCGCAAGAAATTATCCGTGAACTTTTTATATTGCCGCAAGACGCGGTTTGACATGTTGACCTCCGGCCCTGAAAAATAGACTCGAGTCGGAGTTATTTGCACTCTGTGGACGTAAACCAAGCCATCGTCTAACGATATTGTGGGCGAACTCGGGAGCTCTTTTAACGTGCGGTATTTTTCGTACTGCTCGAAAAGCCACGTGACCGGATCATAGCAGCACTCTTTGAGATAGTACAATTTCTCGAGAGCGTGCTCGATGTATTTGATGTTGAACCTTCCAGGATTGATTAGTTGAAAGAATTTGTAATCTAGGGTGGGTCCCGAGAGGCAGCCCGTTTGGACTAAGCTGCAGACTTTGAACAGTATTTTATAAGGCAGCTCGACTCTCACTGGGCGTATTATAGGGACGAGGGAGGAAGTGGGGTCGGTGAAAGGGAGACCTTGGTCGAGGTAGAAGGAGTCTCGGCTATCTTTGTAATAGACGAAATTGTCCTTGAAGTTGGGGAGGTGCATGCCGTGAGGAAGCTGAAGGCAGAGGCTGGAAGACTGGCCAATGCATGATGGGGTGAAGTCAGTTGTTCGTATCCATTGCTCGTCTGGGGTTTCTCTGAAGAAGCTGTGAATTGAGTCTTTGAGCTTCTTGGAGATTCGGGGGGCGCCAAACAACTGGGGTATGAGAATGAGAGAGAAATAGAGTAGTTTATTTATTTATTTTTTCAATTCCTAACTTTCGTCTCGTATGCAGAATGATGCATGAAACAAGGTTTTATAAACCCAGAAACAGAATAAATATTTGGATCACAGAAAGTGCCTCCAAGGTTTCATATAATTATGAAAA